TATAAACTTACCGAAAAGTCGTGTTATTCACGGTCGCTAACGTCGGTATAATTCGCTATTTTATTTGAGTGTGTTTGCCACCCGGTGACGTCATCATGTGCGCTATAAAAGGAGGTATGTGATTCGTTGACTAAAATCGTCGATAGTGGGTCTCGTTGAAATCTCGTTACATAGGCGTCGGATCAGATGTAGGTAGGGCGGAATTAAAAAAAAAATCACAAAATCAAAATCAAAGTAAAATAATGAGATAAAAGGGCATTAATAACATAAGTAATAAAAAATAAAATTAAAATAAGTTTATAGCCAAAATAATTAAAGCCCGTACACTACATCAGATTTTAATCAGATTGCTGCGAATACTAACTGTCAGAAATAGTAGTCCAAATAGCGACGGTTATATCGTAATTAGTTCCAACTCACTGAACCAAGTTCCGTCCGGAACCTCGCATAGGCCTAAACGATGACAGACATAATACAGCCATTCGTTAGTAATCAACTAATTAGGTCGATTAACAGATACGCAAAAACAAATTCATCACGGTCCACTCACTTTGACAGATGAATGTTATTAGGTAAATATAGGAATTCAAATCGCTCAATTGCATCACTAAGCTCTCGCTTAATTTTAATTTCAGTTGTATTTAAATATGTATGTCAAATTATTTGAAATAAACCATTGAAACAGGCTGTTACATTCACCATTTGTGTAATTGCATATTAACTGGGGTATTACACAACATACCTCTTTATATCAATTGTTTGATTGTATCGGTTAATTGTCTTTGATTTTTCTACTTCGAATTTCATCTAACTTTGTAAATTTAGCATACGCCGAGAAACTCAAAAGAGCTGGCCGTCACGTGGAAACAGTCTTCCTGAATGGAATGATTCACGGATTTTATACTTTTCCTGGTATGTATACAAATACGACATTTCAAAGTGTGTCTGAAAATCTTAAGCATGTCCTTCATAATGTCTTCTACATCGAGTTTAATTATAGAATCAGAGTAATTTAACTCTTAAGGTCAAGTCAATGCATTTCACAGCTTAGTCAATGTACTGAAATATTGCAGAATGCAACGAAACATAAATATTAGCTCTTTCAAATTATTACATAGAGATTTGTTTTTTTCGATTGAATTTTTCAATACATACTGGAAGCTACAATTAGATGTGTTCTCTTTTCGATCTTGTATCCTCTGTGTCATATGTAGGGTCCAGGTAAATATTTTTTTCAATGATATAATATATCATATACATGTCTGTCGCTTGTTTCTTTATTATTTATTATCTTTTGTTATTTTACTTATAACAAAGCATAGTATGCATTTCTATTGTATATTACATTAATCTTACTCTTATATTTTTATTTAAGGCTTATTTCCAGAAACCTGTGAGCATGCATATCAACGAACCGCGGATTTCATCAAGGCAAGAACACACAAGAGTTCAACTCTGAGTGGAAAGTTGTAAAAATGTGTTTATAGATGTTAGTCAACATATATGCGAGTGTAATGTAATGCTATAAGTCACCTACAGACATGTTTCGATACTGAATCAGATTGCCTATTTTAGAATGTAACATTAAATTTTGTTTATATAATAACATATTATATATTCCACGAATTTGGCGACTAATTATTTTTCAGTTTGTCTTGAAAAGCAAAAAATGTATTTTACTGCATGCCTCGTTGCCAACGTTCTATAACTAAAGAGTTTACCCCGAAAGTTGACATTTATGGCCGATGCCTAGTCAATCAAACCACATTTGATTGACTGGCAGATTATGTTACAATCCACCTTAACGTAGAAATTAATTATATTGTATCCGGGAATTTTGTTTTTGTCTCTTAAAGCGCTACAGTCGTCGCATCGCGTCATGTTCGGTATGGATTCCATAGCGGCGTATATTAAGCCACTGTTTTGGTACAAACGTATGTAACGCGTGTAAAAACATTTTGTTTACACAAAATTCGTACGACTGTAGCGCTTTATGTTTCTGTTTATTATGATTCACATTACTACACTTCAGGTAAATTGGTTACTTTTACTAAATATTGACAATTTACAGTATACAGTGCACAAAATACAGTATGTTATAACGAGAGCGAGGCTGTACAAATAAAATATCCAAATTTGATTATCAACGGGCAGTCTGCTTCCCAGCGGCAGCACCAGTGATTCCAATACCAAATCGAGTAAGTCGCATTGCTGTTACTCTATTGAATGGTTTACTGGTGAGGTGATAATGCAGGCAATACGTGTGGTATATATATAATTTTATTAACAGACTTTTCTGTTCACATCCTATCACGCAACATGAGTTATGTAACATACACGCAGCAACCACAAAGAGATTGTAGGCAATCCACAACAAAACAGTTTATTTAATTGAGTTCCGATATAAAGCGGTAATTCCATAGTCAGGCAATTGCTTGGTGAGCAAGCCAAACTGAGCAATTTATTGTAAAACGTAAATATTTGTCAAAGCGCGTGAAATGTGGACTTTATTCAGAGTTATTCAAATTTGGTTCATCTATGTGTTGAACTTGATTCAAATATACTACGCACGACTTGGTATCGAGCAACTCCAAACAAATGATTCAGAAATAAGCTATGCTTAGTACCGTGTCAGAAACCATCGCCCGATCATTGCTCTTAGGGTATTTAGATTTGCCCATACACCCTATATATACACGTTATCTAAAGAGTTCGCGCTGTTAGCAGTCGATGATTGCTCTCGTTATAAATGTAAATGTATATTTTACGAAGAAACTACAACACTCAATTATTCTCCAATGTTTATTAGACTATTTCTACAGTGCTACTTTGATGTTGGCTAAAATCACTGACAATCGTATATTTATAAAACAAAATAGACGAATCTAAACTTTGAACCTTGTATGTATAGTTTATATGTAAATGTTCAAAATGCAATATGAACGAGAACATGTCATGTTTAATATTGATTTGTGACAATACATTTTTCTGAATACAATGGTTTATGATTTATCATGAATACTATAACATGTGTATGACACAACTAAGTATACTTCGATAAACCGATACAATTATCTAATGCGCATCACATACTTATTTAAAAGTGAAATCAGACTGACAAAAAATCTATTATTTTAAAGGGTGGTAGTCGTCGCGCTGCGTCCTGTTGTTTCCAATCTTAACCACGTACACATGACCTGTAAAATACATTGTTTGTTTACTTGAAATTCGAAGATGCTCTGTCTGACGACCACCGTCCTTTAATAAAGCAAGTTATATGGTAATGGATAATACCGAACAAAGGCATGTTTAAGGTTCATCAAGCATACTTTCTGCAGATAAAATCATCAAGAAATGTATTTGTTCGCTGGACTCATTCGAAGAACAAAGAGAGTCAGTTTAATCTCCTTAAAGACGAGCAGAACATGTTTTTTTTTATTATATTCTATATTTATATATTGTGTAGTGTGGTGTACTTGTCAGTTGTTTTGATTTGTTCTTGAGAAATGTTTTGGCAATTATTGTCAGTCGTTTGTTTTGTGTTCTTGGGCTTGAACAATTTCTATACTGGGTTGGGCACGTTATTTTCGCTCTCTGCGATGTGACTCTAGCTCTACATTCATAATAGGATACCAAGAGTTCTACTTGTCAAATTAGCCTTGGGCTAATTTTATCAATTACACGTTTTTGTGTTACATTCCAAGTCTGTACCTCGGTTTATTAGATTGCCTACCTTTCTAACTTGGCACAACTATAACAGAGGTTTTACAGATACCATAACAACCGATTAATCCAATAATTTCACAAATGCTTTTCACGTTTTACAACAATAGCATAGCATATCCGGTTTAGGGGAGAAACTGACAAGACAGAGGTAATCCTGACAGTAATAAATACTAGTGGGTAATTGTTTATAACATATTGTTCACTTTGAACATTAATTGCGAGAGCACAACTCTATACAGAGTTTGCGTGTGTCTATTTTGAATGGGAAAATGCAAACACACATTTTCACAACAAAAGTATGCTGACACAGATAAGTTTGAAAGATAGGCAACCTCGAACCTTAAATCATATTCCCATGTTCCAATACAGACAATATCTTAATCGTTTCAAAAGCGATGTGTAAAATGTTTGACACAATATGAGTGTACCAGTAGTTATACAATGTAAATAGAAATACTGGAATAAAGTGGAAATAGCATGACCAACCATATATCTTTATATCAAATTGGTGTAGGAAAAGTTATGTACAAGTTATGTGTCTCACTGCATCGAATGAGATGCACCTGCAAACACCCTTCAAAGTAATGCCAATGCCAGCACTGACGTAATTTTCCTGCCATAGTAGTACTAGTGTATATATATATATATATATATATATATATATATATATATATATATATATATATATATATATATAT